CCCCAAAAATCAGTAAATTCTGTGCACCAACAGGATTATTTTAATACAATTTATACTTTATATTAAATTTTCAAATTATCCCAGTTCCGTACCCCGTTCATTCCTATCAGCTCAGATTTCCCTTTGGAGCTGAACTGTGGTAAACAGAGCCTTTGTATTGACTCTTGTAAACTTTCTAAGTGCATATTTATTTGTTCTTCTGTGAACTTGTTTTGATGTGACTAGCCCTGACTTAGATGGATTTCTGCTACATACCACGTATGAACTAGTAGTGTTGCAGCTTTCTCTGTATTTGCTTAGGTATTTGAAGCTGATTCAACTTGCAAGAGGGAATATTTGCCTTTGTTGTCATCTATTTGCAGCCCTAGAACTTTTACGTTTTTCATGCAATTTCTGTTTCCTATTTATCCCCTTTTCTTTGGCAGTGCTTTCACTGCAGACTCCAAGGCTACAATCTTCTCTTCCCAGTCCAGACTGTCTCTGGCTGCAGGGGCTGCTGCTGGGTATTTGTTTGGACACCGTGCACTGGGACTCCTCTTACTACACATGGAATTCCATTTCTGCACCAAATTACACAGCAGATGGCTCACTCGGGTTACTTTACCAGCAGTCCTCTGAAGTGTCAGCAATGAGCACAACAGGAGAGGGTGTCCTGTCCAACAGGACACCAAGATTGCAAGTTTTGTCTCATTCTGTGCAGCAACGATCTTCACAAACCTGTCGGCAAAGCTGTTTCTGAAGTCAAAGATAGACATTTTAACACTAAATAATCCATGGGTCAGGAAAATCTCTGCAATTTAGTCACAATCCTAATCTGTCTAAATTTGTCTGCTTGTTGTGCTGTCTTCAGAAATTATGCTCTGGATCTAAAATGCCTCTTCCAGCAAAACCAGCTTGAAACTGCATTCAGTAAACCAGCGTTTTCATGGTATATCAATCAATTCTTTGTTTGGGCTCTGCCCCCCTGGGTCTGAATATTGTCGTTGTGGAAGGGAAGGAAGCCTCTTTCTTCCTCTGCAATTTTTGTCCAGTTAGTGCAGAGAGCACATGTAATTGTGTGACTTGGCTCTGTTGCTTTCACTATGGCCTGGAGACAGCAGAAAAACAGAGGCAGAACACAACACCCATTTCTTCTCAGCTGTCTCACTAGCCTTGCTGCAATAGGCAGAAACAAGAAGTTTCCAGGGACATCTTATGGGAATCTGCAGAAAAGAGTAGGAAGCAGACCTGACCTTCTGATTGCTCCATTTTGTAGCTCCTAAGTAAGGTGGGAGAAGAAATGTCACAACTCTACAGCTTTTTGGGCCACAAAGGGAGAGAAGAGGCCTCCCGCCCAGCCCGATGACTTCCTTGGTGGTATCCCAGGGCGACTCATTCCTCGTGCATGCCATAGGCAGGAGCAGAACACAGTCCACCTGCCTTTACTGACCTCCAGCAAGGGAGAAGCTCAGCCGCCTTCAGCAATGCTGAGGGCAAGCACAGGCCGGAGTGTGTGCGTGCAGGTGCCTGCCCTGATGGGAGGTCACCACACACAGAGTCGTAGCCAAGTCAGTTTAGTCTACGATTTTATACACCTCAACTGAACAGGTAACTGGGAACAAATCAGAAGATAGTCATGGGAAGCTGGGAAAAACATGAGGAAGAATATTTTCTCTACCTTAATAATTTCCCCCAAATAGGAAGAAAATTAAAAATAAAGCTACTGTATTCTTGATACGAGTAAAAAAATCCAACAAAACCAACCACCAACCAAAAAAATCCCCAAAGTCCCCCCAAATAATTTGTGTAATTACTGTTATTGTTCTTTGCCTTGGTTTTTGGCTCCCAACTTCCAGAAACTTTGGAATGAGTATATATATTTAAAGATGCAATGGCAAGGATGGGCCCCTCCGGTAGAGTCCTTAGGTAAAACCGTCCCTATTATCCCCTTAACTCTGTTCTTGCACTTCTTAGTTCATACGTGCTGTGGCCAGCAGGTGCTGCTAAAATACCTCCGAGGGAAGGAAGAACTTAAACCGCACTTCCATTGAAAGTGCTGGAATC